AGTGACCTCGTTGGGGATGTGGAGGTGGTCGACTACGAGTCTGACACTCCTTTTCCCGCGTGAAATGACGATGAAGGCGAGCCGAGACGCGCCGCGCAGGCTCGCGCCTTGCGGACCCCATGTCCGTCTCCTGACTTTTCGTCACTTGAGGAACGTGGTGTAATCACCAATGACCTCGATGAGGCACAGAAGCGACAGCTGGAAGATGCCCGTAAGGCGGCTCTGATGCGCGCCCATCCACGGTCAGTAATTGACCCTCGTTTGGAATATGGGTTTCCGCCCGGCGGATCCCTCTGTGGAAGCGAAGGACATAGTAACTCGATCGTTACGCCTCTACATCATCGGGCCCCCGACCATTACGGAAGATGAGCTTGCCGAACGGGAAGCTCTTCGAGCTCGTTTCTTGGTTCCACAACAACTTCCGTTGGAAGCTTATCGCACTCCTCTGCGTGCTCAACGAGGTGGCTCTCGTGTACCCGCAATGCGGACGATACCTGTAGTGCTCGCCCCTGGCGAAAGCGCTACAGATGATGAAGTGCTCTTTGAGCGATGGCTGCAACGACACCAAAAACTTTCCTCACTGTATGCTTTACAGTTAAGCCACAAGGAAGTCGACTTGCGTGTGGAGCGCCACCTCCGATTTGAGTTTGTTAAGTTCAAGGCACGCCGTCGACTTCCTTCGAATGGTCGCCTTGCGACGTATGGGTTAACTTCTAATGCTTCCGCGAGCTCTGTGTCTGCGACCGCAAGAGCTCAGAGCCACTGCTTGAGCTCAGCTCATGGCCCTTCTACCTCACAGGCTATTGCCGGGAAGCACAGGGCGTCTGATGACGCGGGCGTCCTAATCTTTCTGATCAAAAGCGTCCACGGCGTCTGGTAAGTTCTTCTCTGCAGCTTTTGGCTGTCGAGATTAGAACCCGATCACCCGATCACCCGATCTCGTCCCTCGGCGTCTGCTTGCAGCAGTGCACAGCCGATGACAAAGTCCTAAGCGTCACAGACGACGCTGAAAGGACGATCAGGGTCTGGCAGCGCCAGCATTAATGCATGCAGGAGGCTGTCTTTAACCCCGTATATAGCCTCCTGATGTTCGATGTTCCAACACCATTCCGCATTCTATTAAAGGAGATTGGATAATGGCCGGGCCATTTCTGCGTAATTTACGCTGTACTTGTGCAAGTAATTGGCGAGGCCAAGCCACTTACGCAAGTCCCTCTGATTCTTGGAACCGGTCATTCTACAATGGCCTTGAGCTTAGCGGGATCCGCTAGAAGGACACGCTTCCCAATGAAGCACCTTAAAAAGGGAATCTCTTCTGCGACAAAGGTGCAATTGTCTGCATTGGCGTACGGTTTGTTTGTGCGCATGCACTCGAGCATCGCTCTTGAATGGACAATGTGGTTCTCCTCATCCGTCCTCCCGTTCTCCGCACGACTTTGAACGAAATTGTCGTCAAAGTATGTCGGTGCATACGCCCTGTGGGGCCTGAACAACTGCGTCGCACGACGATTAAATGTTGCTACTGCATTTGACAGCCGTTGTGGCATCACCAGCCACTCCCAGAGCATGTCGCTCGGAGTGCACACCGCTATCAGCGAAATGC